ACTACATTTTGCTACAATTTTTTAGCAATTATATCGTTATTGAAATTTTATGCAATTTTTAATGTGGCCTTTAACTGATTAGAATATAGTTAGACAAGCTAACTATTTAAATGCCACAAATAAATAAAAATTATTGTTTGCTAGTATGAAATTGTATCTGAGTTTTACACACTTTTGTAAACAGTGGAGACACACACAGGTTGATAATGATGAATAAAACCCTCTGGCTTTGTTGGATCCCATCCATTATTTCATTGTCTCAAACCCTTCTCAATAATCTTTTTTGAAGTCCCATGCACTTTTGAAGACTAGGTCCAGTTTATTCATACAGTGGTACCTTGGGTTAAGTACTTAATTCGTTCCGGAGGTACGTACTAAACCTGAAACTGTTCTTAACCTGAGGCACCACTTTAGCTAATGGGGCCTCCTGCTGCCACCATGCCGCCGGAGCACGATTTCTGTTCTCATCCTGAAGCAAAGTTCTTAACCTGAAGCACTATTTCTGGGTTAGCGGAGTCTGTAACCTGAAGCATATGTAACCCGAGGTACCACTGTATGTGGTCTGGGCACATAACTTATCCACTTGGAAGAGTGCATGAAAGAAGCTCGCATGGGCATTCCTATAATAAGAACCGATGACCACAAACCTGATCACATCAGAGAGTTGGTGCTCATTGGTCTCATCTAGCTTCCTAGCAGGTGAGTCACTGTTGTTTATTGACAAGGAAAGGCAAGGTTTCAGGGGGCTCATTGTGGGGTAAATGTATCTGCCAATCCAGAATTCCTGCTGGTGAGTTTGCACTGCACTGCACTGCACTGCACTGCACTGCACTGCACTGCACTACACCAACCTCCCTCCTGGTAAACAACACTGACCCTGCTACTGGAAAGCTAGCATAGTGATCCCCATCTCTCTCTCACACACACAACCTTGACAAGCTATTTCTGGATGTAACGGAGAAATTGAGCTACTGTAGGTGTCATCAGCATACAGCTGATGCCATACTCCAATGACTGTTCTGAACAACTTCATATAGATAGGGGACAACTGTGGCTCTCTATAACACAGATGTAAGGGGCTGACAAACAGCCACCCAAGGCTGTTCTCTGGTACCAATCTCAAAAAATGAGCGTTGAAGCACTGTAACACCGTGCCCCCAACTGGATCTTGTAGAGCCAATCCAGGTTGATACCAGGGTCAATGGTATCAAAAGCCAAGGAGAGATCCATCAAGATTTACAGGGTCAGCACAGCAACGAAGGCTAATTCGGTCCCTAAACCAGGCCTGAACCCAGTTTGAAGTGAGGTTAGGTAAGCCATTTCCTCCGTATGTGCCTGGAGCTGGGTCATCATTTGCCAATATTAAACTGTAAGTTATATTATGAAGTACATATTGTAGACTCAATAATGCTTGTATGCATCATTTTGTTAGTTTGAATTCTGTTCAGGATGTGATAAACAGCTTCCACCCTACTCGTGTTATACAGTCTTAATTTATCCTAGCCCACCCATGTTTGTTTAATTGCAAGCAAATTTACTTTAGGAGAATTTGATTGATAACTTTCCTCCAAATTAGTTTTAGCTCTGGTACGGAGCCATAACAAAACATTTCAGGGAAATGTGTTCAGCTCTTTTCTACAGGGGAAATGACTTGTTTGTGGTTGTTTATGGCTGCCTCATTGTGCTGTTTTAATTTGTATAATGTCACAAGACAGGCTGACTTAGGGCCTAAGTAGTACCTCAGAGGAGCAGCAGGAAAGATTTACAAATAAACAAAAATAGTAGATGAACAATGAGAAAAATCAACCTGTTCCAAGAGAACCTAGGAGGAATGAGAGCCAGTGCCTGGAATCTATTGCAAAAAGGTCTCTTGAATTAGATCAGGCAGCCCACTGCAGAGAGTGAGAAACTGACAGGATAGATCTTCAAGAGGACTGAAAGGCCTGACCTTGGATATTATTCGTTTATTTATTTCATAAAATTTAAACATCACCCGATTGTAAAAACTACAACAACCCTCAAAGGAATAAAACAATAAAATTATTGGGGGGGGGGGAGAAACTATTTAAAACATTCAAAAGATTAAAATAAATGATAAACTAAAAAGGGTGTGAGAGGACCAGCTTTTATACTGCAAAGCCTTCTGGGAAAGTAAGGTGAACATTCACTTGGAACCCCAGTAAATGTGGGCCAAACTACTCAGAATTAAAGCAAGGCAGGTTTGCCTAACTTTGAATGATGACATCAGGTCCCATGCTTTAATTTCCCCTGGCAATGGATGGCAGCCAACCATTCACCCAGAATTGAGTTTTTCTAAGCCTGTTCCCTGATTTCAGCCACGAAGAAAGGCTGCATCCATTTATTCAACCCTGTCTCTTCATCTGAAAGCTCCGACTTGGATCCTTGCTCTCACTAGAAAGGAATGGGGGCAGGTACCAGGTACAGAGATACAGTGGTACCTCAGGTTCAGAACTTAATTCATTCCGGAGGTCCGTTCTTAACCTGAAATTGTTCTTAACCTGAGGTACCACTTTAGCTAATGGGGCCTCCCGCTGCTGCTGTGGCATGATTTCTGTTCTCATCCTGAAGCAAAGTTCTTAACCCGAGGTACTATTTCTGGGTTAGCGGAGTCTGTAACCTGAAGCGTCTGTAACCTGAAGTGTCTGTAACCTGAGGTACCACTGTAATATGAATGAGAGAGAAAAATACTTACTCTGTCACCTTTAAGGCCCATGTCACCTTTAAATCCAGGGAAACCATCTTCACCCTGATAAAGGAAAAAATGACACATCATAGTGTTGTTGTTGACAGTTATTAAAGAATCTGAATGCATGCATGAATTTAATGCATATAGTAGCTGCACCTATTTTGCTGCAAGTCACAGCATTTTACACTACTAAAAGTGGAGCATAACAAGTCAAATAATTTAGTACAGCGGCTTCTCTATCAGAGGGGGGAAAGAACACATATTGCCACAGCTGTATTGAATTACTTTTCAGCTTTAAAAGGGAGAATGAATGATGAGAAAGGTGCTTAAGGCAACAGACAAATTCATTTCTTAATTCATCAAGGAGCTCTTCATTATGACATTATTCTTCTGAATTAAATTTCTTTCTCATATGTTCAGGGTTTTTTTAAAGGGCTTTCCCCCCCCACACACACACACCATCAAATGCCTCATGTTCAAAAGTCAATTAGGATATAGTCTCAAAGACACCAGCTAGCGATTAAGGGTTGATTAACACAGCCATATATCCTCATGTGACAGTCATGTAGCGATGGTGGTGCAGTTAGGAATTGGGAGTTTCAGAAATTAAATTTCCTGCATGCAGAACTCTATGAGCCAATCTGAGATGAAGCCCAAGCTCCATAAATCTGATCTCAGCTCAGGATGAAGACATCCTGTCATCACCCCTTATTTCTACCTGTCACCTGACTTACAGCCAGCAGTCACAGAAGAGGTTGAGATGGTGCCTTTGTGAAGCTCTGGGATGTTATTAGGGTGTGCTCTGGGTATCGGCAGCCTTGGGACATATTATTCCCAAGGCTTCTGGCATCCTTTCTAGGGATGTTCACAGCCTATAAAGGACATTTCTCAGAGTTCCTGAAATCTAGGATGCTCTTACAGATGCTCACAATCAAACCCTAGATATCAAGAAACCAGAGAAATGAAGTTCTCAGCCCACATGACTCACCATTAAAGGGATGAGGCATTCCTTTTCAAATATATTGTTACAGATTCAGGGTACCAGAGTTTGTGGGTGCAAAGGCATCCATAATTAGATTTAGTAAATGTTATGAATTACTAAATGCTTGGAGTCTTCCCCTGGGAAAGAGACAGCTTTGCAATGTGAAATAAAAATAAAAATGCCGATTAAGCTTGTCTGCCAGACCAGGGTATCACCTGGAATGGAAGTTTTTAAGCATGACATGATGGCCCATCAAAGGACTTTGGTCTTTGAAATAGAGGTTGCCAGGGGAGTATGGGCACAGAAAAAAATGTGCTTTGATTTCCAAACAGAAAACACAACCCTGGAAGCCCCTGGAATCTTGCTACCACTTGGCAGAGATTGGGGGGTGACATGAAACAATATGGAAGTATTTTGGAGCTTAAAGCAGTACCGTACACAAAACTGGAAGTCAATTTTACACTTAGGAGCAGATTTTGAGGGGATGAGGAGCACACCTAAGCAGATGCAAAGGCATTCGGGTGGGGAGGGGAAGTTCCACGGCACTCATGGAAATTGTTCCACATGGGCAATGTTTAGCTAGCCACAGCCCAACAGAACCAGTGATCCACACGGGGAACATCGGCTTCTCTATTCTGAGGGCTGCTCCATTCTCCACAGAGCTTTTTGGTAGCTGTACTGACAAAACAATCCCCACGCAAGAGGATGAGGCTCTGTAATAGATTTGGCAGCATCTAGCAAGAAGGGAATAACGACCGCATAAGATGTGCACCGAGGCATAGCTGACACATTACTTACAACCCCCAAAGAAAGATGCTATATTTTAAAGTGCGGAATCTCTCTCTTCACAACTTCTGTTTCTTAGAAATGAAAAGAATGGGGAAGCTTTTCTACGACACCTCAAACAGAAATCGAGCCATGGGGTTGCTCCTAGGTAACGAATCGTTCCACGAAAGGTGAGTGCAAGCAGATCTGTGTCAGGACCATCTTTATACTGAGGAAGACACTATCTCTGAGCTGAACGAGCTTGTAGCAAAATGGCCTGCAAAAATGTTTGCCTGTTTCTTCTGAGTGATTTATAAAGTGGAGTCGTATGGTTTGCTGTCATGTAAGATGGTCCCAGATGAATGACTGGCAGTAAGTTGTTGTTGTTAAGAAAACAGCACGAGTGTTTCACCTCTCCAGTTTGTAGGAGCTGTCTATAGTCAGAAATGTCTTCATTTCCATTGTGAGATGAAGACCAACCATATAGCTCAGTCATGGGATGCTGAATCTTAGGGTTGCGGGTTCGAATCCCATGTTAGGCAAAAGTATTCCTGTATTACAGTGGGTTGGACTAGGTGACCCCTGTGGCCCCTTCCAACTCTATGATTCTATTATTCTGTGTAACATTTGGCAAGAAAATCAAAGAGTGGAATTCAACATTGCACTGTGAGAATCATATGATCATAGAATTGCAGAGTTGGAAGGGACCCTGAGGATCATCTAGTCCAACCCCCTGCAATGCAGGAATATGCAGCTGCCCCATATGGGGATCAAACCTGCAACCTTGGCATTATCACCACCACATTTTAACCAAATGTGCTATCCAGGCTTTTATAGTGAACATCCCACCAGAGAAAGCATTGCTACTTGCCAGACATAATATCCCCCTCTGTCCTCCCCACATGCACCATTATGGGGCTTCTCCTGATCCCTGCAGAGCCAATTTCAGGGGGCACTGGTAGGGAAGGGATAGGAAGGGGGAAGCCCCTTTGCTAATGTACGTTTAGAATTCATACAATATTTTGCAATAAGGGTGTTAATTAAATAATTCCATCCTGCTCTTCCTCCCAAAGGAGCCCAGGGTCGCAAACAATGAAACAGCAAAACAATTTAACGAATACCTTAAAAAAAAAAATCTGAAAGTATTTAAAAGTAACCAAATACCTGCACAGCTACTTTGATCTGCCCTAGTCTTTTGCAGATTTATTCTGCTTCTACTTTTCATGATCATCACTGTAGCTATTTATATCGCACCATCAATATACATGGTGCCTGATTTTCAATTAGATTTTCCATTAATGAGTTGAGTCCTTTTAGTACTAAAATATAAACGATAAAAACTAAGCACCATAAAGAGATTACCTTTTCACCTTTGCCACCTTTGAGACCGCGAACACCATCAGCGCCCTGTTAGAAAACAGCAGCAATGACAAAGTTACCGGATTGGTTAACGGGAAGAAAACCCACAGGTCTCATTGCGTTTATCAAATATGAGCAAAGGTATTATGCTTACCTTTACCCCACGGGGGCCAGGATACCCAATTGGGCCTTGAGGACCTGGAGGCCCCTAAAAGATAATGAAGGATATCTAGATCATATTGCTTTTAAATAATATGCCTACAGCACACAGCTGTAGGTTAACACACATTTATCTCAAAGGTGATCAGGTTTATCTGAGCAGAAACATAACAATAAGTTCATAACTGACCCTGTACCTGGGTATTTCTGTGGATTTGTTGGTGTGGTGAAATGGTGGACATCAAAAACATGGTTTAATGCATGTTTGTGAGTTATATGTGGATTCTGCCTTCTGGAAGAAGGTACATGGTTATAAAGACTAGGACTAGCCGCGTGAGAAACAGTTTCTATCCAAATGTGATTTTGATTTTAAACGCAGTATAAGGTAGTCTCTGTGGGAGTATATTGGATTTAATTAAGGGGTGTCAGAGTTTTTAGGGGGCTAACCAGGCTGGGATAGCTGGGATAGCAGGCTTGTTGGTTTTTGAATGTCTAATGTAATTTTTTCTCAATTTTGTTGTTCTGTATGGGACAATGACAATAAAGATTATGGTAAACGTAATCGTAAAAATGTAAAATGAAGTGTTGCATGAGTTCAATAGCAATTATGGGCAAATGTGGATCTCATTTAATTTGTTCCTAGAAAGTCACATCAGAACCATGTTGACTTTCTCTGCCCCAAGGGTGTCACCAAATGTCACATATAAGTATTTTATCTAGAGCACGGGTATTGGCTGACATCTCTGGGCAAAGCTGAAGAAAGTAGATGCATTTGTTGTTTGATGCTTACTGAACTGATATCCCCAACCATTGCCCACAGATGATGATGATGATGATGATGATAACTACTACTAGTAGTAGTTATACCCCACTTTCCCCCCTGACAGGATTCAAGGTGACCCATCCCCTCTTCCCAATCTCAAGAAATTATGAGCTTTGTTTCATTTAAGAGACTAGGGAAGGAATTCAAGTTCACACTGTTACATACATATTGTCAGTGTAAGCATTTCTGCCTGCCTAACAAAATGCTCCCCTAGCTCCCCCCAATGCATGCTGTTCCAGGGATTCTTCACACAGAAACACCCCGAGCCAATCTGAGGGTGGGGGAGAGGAGAAGGGAGAAAGCCCCATTGTACTAGTGGTCATCCTTGTGTTGGCTTTCACTAGTGGGACCAGATAGCTGAATCTGGCTCAAAGCTATTGGTGTGTGTTCAGGACAATATACCCTCAGACACGAGTTTGGAATTATTTAGGGTAGTCAACCATCAGATTTAAAAACAACGCTTGACAAAATGGGCAGAGGGAGTAAATAAATCAAAGGAGCACTCTGATCTCATCTGAACTCAATGCATCGAGGCTGCACTCCATAGACTGAGAGATGATGAGCCATGTCAATTTTTTTAATGCATTGAAGGGAATCCAAGGTAGCATTTATTTCCCACCTATCCATAGGTTGAATTGTGGAAATGGAGTTGCGAGTGGGGCAATACCTCTATAGATTGCAACCGAAATCTGTCCCCATTCACTGCGTTGTTAGCCAAGCTCCTAATGTACTTTATTTTGAAGATAGTCTGAGGGGAATTAGTGCAGCTGAGTGTGACGAAATGTGCCTTGACAACACGGATGCCGTGCCAGGTGAAGATTTAAAATCCTTCAGGAGGATCAATATGTAAGTCCTCAAACAGGCAGAGGGTGGTGAGACTTCGCTGGTCTGCTTAAACCTTGAGCATCTCTCAGAAAGATCTTTTTAGAATGGCAAATTCACTCTAACTGCTTCGTTATTTCATTTTCAGAATATTTCATGGGCACAGAATTGGGAGGCTTAGGTTACTCTGATACACAGAGTATACAAAATATTCTATTCCTCACACACATTCCCTTTATTTTGAGCACTTTTGCTTCATACTTAAACACAAAGGAGCCTGTTGACAGAAGAGCAATCAATAAATGTCTGGTGGTGCATACTGGAGGAAAGTTTTTTACAGGAAAGGGGGGGGAGCCACAGGTTCGGTTTGCAGCAAAAGAGATTTTACTTGGATTTCTAGAAATTCTCCTTGACTTTAACATGAGCTGGCAGGTGGAAGGAGTTGCCTGGAGAAAATACGCAAATCCCTTCCCAGGGTTGCAGTTTTTGAAAAGAAGAAGTCTGATAAACATTTCTAATGTGTGTCTTAAATCCAGGATTATTTGGGCAGGGTGCTTTAAATAGTTGGTGCACCCACAAGTTCCAAGAAAGGAAGTGTGGAAATAGCAGGTACCAAGGGGAGAGGAAGCTCACAGTTCAGTACGCATTCCATCTACCTATGCCCAAAATAATTCATACCTTCCTCAGCGGAGAAAGAAAAAAAATGTTCATAATTGGGACTTTAATCCCAATTTTCAGCGTGTCAACGTTTTGTTGTGATCTTTCCTAAAGGCATAATAATATGTTCATTCCATTCTAAATGTTATGAGAATTATCCACAGGCTTATGTCAAGAAAACACAAACATACCAGGGAACCTTTCTCTCCCGACTGTCCTTCTTTGCCTGGGTGACCCTATGGGCAAAAATATATATCGGGGAAAACACTTAGTTTGTGAACAGTAACATCTCATTATACAGATTCAATTGAATTTATACTCTTCTACATATGTACAAATTCAGCCTTCTTCTCAAACTCTCCCATCAGCTCCAGGTATCATGGCCTATAATGACAGATGATGCAAGCAGGAGTCTAAAAACATCTAGGGAACATTGCATTGGCTGCCCCTGCCCTGGAGCATTTTGAAAAGCCTATGGGAAATGAAGAGATTGATCTGATTACATTGGCAGTATTACGTCTCTTCAGTGCCTTTCCTTGAAATGATGAATCACTAGCTGGAGTAAAAAGTCTTTTTTTTTCTTCTGAAGCTGCTGTTTTGTTTTAGGTCCAAAGCACTCTAGGAAAATAATGCAAGAGCATGTAAACCACTCCAGAGTTTCCCCATTCAATGCATTTTCTCTGGAAGATGGGAATTGATTATTTTTATCTTGTCACCAAACATTACACTAAGCACGCCATTAAAGTTATGACACAACAAAATGAAAGCAAACAGTAATGGAAATATTTTATAGCATGTGGAAATCAATAGCCAGGAGGCTTTTTCCAGTTGGGCAAAATCCACATGCGGTTGAAGAGCATAATCAATCTTTAGCGTCAGTGTCCATATAGCCATCTTCAAAATATCAGAATAATTATTAGTTTTATGTGACTCAGACACCCACAGCTGCCTATGGATGCTTTCTCAGTTCAATCCACTCCTTTCCTTTACTCTAATATATATGTCGCATCACCTCTCGTGTCCTTCAAATCCCCTCAAAATCTCCTTCAGCCCATAAAAGCAACAACAAAAGCACAGGTAACCTTCAGATCCAGGGTGCAACCCTAAATAGACTTACCTGGGAATAAGTCAGATTGAATTTCAGAAGAGAAATGCCTAGGAATGCACTGGTTACGTTTTATGTTTACAGTCATACCTCGTGCTATGTTTGCTTCACGCTGTTTGCGCATGCGCAGTAGCAATGCTCTACTTACAGACTTTTCGGGGTGCAAACGGCACCCCGAAACGGATCGCGTTCGTAAGTGGAGGTACCACTGTATTCAATTTATGCATTGCTTGCCACTAACAAAAAAGTCCCAAAGCGTGCTTTACAATCAGAGTTGAAAAGACAACAAAAATCCCATAAATATTATAAAAACAGACTTAACAATACAGCATCATATTAAATGCCTGGGGAAACAAAAACAAAAAAAAAGGATTTGCCTGGCACTGAAACGATGACAAAGTTGTCACCCTGGAAGAGTGGTCCATAAACTGTTATTCTTCCTCCCCAAGGAACTTTTGGAACTAGAGTTTCCTGAGGGGCTAGGAATCTGTAGCAAAGAATTCTCAACACACCTAATCAGGGGTGGACTTTGGTAATATGGCTCCCTAAGCAAGGACAAAAATTGGTGCCCCCCTGCCAAACATTTCTTGTTTTCACAAGTCCACCTACTCCCTATTGGGCAGACGGTGCTGAGGTCTGGCACTGTTCTGCCCTTTGCAACCCTGTGGTGGTGCGGGGTGTGGGGCCTGGTTGGATTGTAGCCTGCCTACAAACTGGCCAATCGCAGGCAGGTTGCTGTGCAGGACCTCCCCCAGGGGCAGGGGCAACTGTGCCGCCATGTGTCGCTTGGGTCCGCTCCCAAGGAATAAACAGAGGGCCTGCCC